CTTAAATTTAAATCAAAACTAATGGAGTGAAGCGTGGCAATAAATCTATGGGCTGGACTAAAAATGAGCAAAGACAAAAAGATTTCCTTTCAAATCGTGTTATTTTCACGCAACATCCTAGTGTTTAATTTACACCTTATGTAGCTTTAATGCATTCATTACAGTGATTTTATTAAACTGCCAATTAGGGCAACTTGAATATATACCAGCATATACCGTGTGTCAAATGTCTCTGTTGAGAAAATGCATAGCAGATCATCCTTTCATTTTTCAAAGGCACAGACATCTGAGGACATAATCTTCAATCATCTCATTTCCTTCGTTATTTCTGGTTTCACAACCTTGCGAGGTCTACATTTTTTTAATCTTTAGCTTTAAGAAGTATATTAAAGGATGGAAATCTGGAAAGAAAGAAAAAAGCCCAAAAAGGGAGGAGCATGCTTTGTAGTGTATTATGCTGCTGTAGGTTATTTTTCTGGTCAATTTAAGAACTAATTCGGTGAGTAAATGGCACTTTAATAATGCTCCAAAGCCTGAAAACGCACTAATGGAGTTGCATATGACCAGAAGGGCAAATAATTTTCCTGATGCACAAAATTGTTGTAGCAGGTACCTGCCACCATCAGAATTTAATTTAATGCAGCCACTGGTACTGTAGCTTAGTGGTTTTACTTAAGGCATTCATGAGGCTGCATTCAATTACATGTGCCAGAAACGCCACTTCAGACAACACTGTAAGTTAGGTTTTCTAAGATCCTCACTATTGTTGCCTTCCCTCACAACAATCAAGTTTACAGAGCTATCCAAATGCAACATCTGTGTGTTTTTTTTAACAAAGACAAGTTGTTTCAAAATCCCCATTTTATCTGAAACACATCATTGGATCGTTTTTGGATATGCACAAGTTTGTTTGGCTACAGTTACACAACTTGGTGGTTTAATTAACAAAAACCTGAGTGAGTCAACATGTGCCATTAGGCGGAGTTTTGGTGCAGCACTTTTCAGTTCAGAGGTTGTCTTGATGACTTCAAATAGCTGTAAATATTTATTTGAAGTTATTTCATAGAGTCAAGATTCTGTGAATAGCAGATATTAGTGATAACGAGACACAAATTGGTGTGACAGCACTGGCATGGGGAAAAAAATGTAAAGAAGAAAATATTCGATAATACCGGGTTAGTCTATAAGAGCTGTGCTTATCTAAAGTCTCTATCCCTAAAAGAAAAACGAAAAAAACAACCATTATTGTTTATGCATGGTCCAAACTCAACCCTTGCCTCTCCCTAAGAAGCCCTCATCCACAACACAGCAGCAGCCAGGCATCAAGTGATTTCCAAACTTAGCAGTAAAAAGGGACTGAACAAAGAAAGCCACTATGGAAGAGTGTCTAGTGATGTCAGCATAAAAAAATAGACAATAGCTTATGTTTATCTAAAAAGCTCTCAGATAAACATCGAACAGTCGTCGCATAAGATTTATTTGAGAGGATGAAACTGGTTGTTTGTATTTCAAAAATATGCAATTTAAACACATACAACAGATTTGGTCCTAAAACTCTACATACACATATTTAGAGTTTTAGGACTCTAAATAAACATGTAAAAAAAAAATAAAAATAAGAGGACTGTCGTGTATTACAATAAAAAAGAGGATTGCAACACACATTGCTGTGTGTGAAACAGTTGCAGATAAGAGCTCCAAAAATGAAATCAGAGGCAGTAACACACACACACACAAAAAAAGAGTCGCATCTCATATTTAATTCAGGGTTCTTGGCCTCAGGTATGAGTAAATTCACAGCTCCATTCTCTCCCCCACTTTCTTTTCTCTTGTCATCTTTTATTGATTTATAACTCTCAGGTTACATCTCCATGATATATCTGGGTGCAGAGGCACCACATCCCAAACCAGTATCTGAGGCAACATTCAGAATAATCCAGCCTTGTACTTCGGATTCATATCATATCATTTTACAATGTTTTATGAATACATTTTTGTTGCATGCCAACCTTAAACCATCTGGTCAGGAGACTCCTTACTGTTGGCTGTACATACTGAACCAGAATGTGTTTGAATTATGCAAACCTGAAGGCTACGAATAATAGATCCATACCATTGATTTCATGCCCTAAATTTTTCCTAAAAATGTCATGAGGTCAGATTAATATTAATATTATTTCTATGTCACTGACCGACCCATTGGCTTTGTTATGTGCCGTATGACACCAGCGACAGCTGCTTTCAATTTTTATTATGCAGCAAAAATGTAGATGTGCTCTTTAAGCAGACAAAAGGTTGACTGAACATAGGAAGACAATTCATGCACTTAAGGCTCAGCTTACGGTATATACTCAAGCATATGTAAACAGTTACAAGCAACATGTTAAAAAAAATGCAAACGCAATATTAGCAGGAAAAGACATAACTGAGCAAGTTGTCCCCTCTGCAGGTAGAAGCTGATTCAACTCTGTTATGTTGTGAATAAAAAAAAAGTAACAACTCTTTTACTGCTGGCACACTTTCAAATTTAAAAAAAAAAATATTGTGGAAAGTAAATGTCTTTCCCTGGTGAATGACATGAATCTCAAAAAGTGTGTGTAACTGTCTGGTATTCAATGCTTTGCAAAAGTCTCAAGTTGCCCCTCATTTTCTTTATATCTTGCTAGTAAAATGGGAAATAGGTGCAGCGGCATGTGCAAACATACAGTTAGGTCCATATATAATTGGACACTGACAAAGGTTTTTTCTTTACCGTTTACTGAACTATATTCCAATTATAGTTATAGAATGGATATGAAAGTAATGTGTAGACCATCACCTTTCATTTGGGGGTATCAATATTTAAATTGGATGAAGGGTCTAAGAGTTTCAGCTCCTGCCACCTTCTTTTTAAAAGGACCAAAAGGCTGACTCAAAGACTGTTTCATGGGCAGGTGTGGGCAATGCCCTTGTCCCTTATCAATTAAACAGATAATAGGCCTGGAGTTCATTTGAGGTATATTGCTTGCATTTGGAGGCTTTTGCTGTGAACAGACACATGTGGTCAAAGGAGGTCTCCATGCAGGTGAATCAAGCTGTCTTTCAGCTGCTAAAATCAAAAAATCCCATATGCCAAATTGCCCCCTTTTAGGTTTTTTGGTTTGTTTGTTTGTTTGTTTTTTCATTTAAAAGTCGTTGTGGTAATGTACAGAACCAATATGACTGGGGAAAAAAAGCTGTCCCTGTCCAAATACTTATGGAGTCAATTAAAATGCAAAAACATTATATAAGGCAAAAACAGCTCAAAAGACAATATTTGGTATCCACCGTTTAACACAGCCTGAGCATACTTAGGCAAGCTTTCCTGTAATTTATTTAAGTAGTCTACAGGAATAATTGAAGGAAATCCACAGCTCGTCTTTGGATATTGGTTGCCTCATCCATAAAATTCTGACATCAATCTGAACTAGAAATTTCAAATTTAGATTCACCACCGCATAAAACCTATTGCATCTAATTTTCAGTCTAGTTCTTGTACAATTTGACATACCTTAGTCTTTTGTCCCCATTACCCGTCCTATAGAAAGGCATCTCAACAGCCACCCTTCCACTGAGACCATTTCTGATCAACTGAAGGGTCATATGCATCTCTATGTCCCTGTGTCAGGTCTTTGCTGGATTTTTTCATGACATGACATTCAGCTAGTGTTCATCTGGTTATTACCATTTTCATACAAAAATGGTAATTCAGTTTTGTATCTGCATGGGTAACCCAACTTTATCAAGTTAGTTTCAAGTTCATTCTCAGTTAAGTACCTGAGTTTTGTCATGTCATGCCATAGGATTAGTATACTACTGTTCATTCAATGTAGACTCTAAATTATGCTCCATAACCTAAACTGCATCCAGACCTGAAAGACCTGGCATTACTCAACCACAGGATGGAAAGATGAAAGACTAGAAGGGGAAGCTTGGCAGCTCCAAAAAAACATCAATCTTATCCACAATATCTTTTAATCAGGCATATGTGGCAATTATACAATAAACAGTATGTTTAATCTGCGTTGTTTTGATGGAATCAGACTCCCTCCTTCAAGTACACTGTGTACTAGTAAATCAACTGTTGGAAGGTTTTTTATGAAATTGGACCTCATGTCTCCTGCAAATCTGTGGCGTGAAAGAGGAGTTGGATGTTTGTGGGTTTGGTGTTTAGACGGCATGATTGATTTTTATACTCCCTAGAAGACGGTATCTTTCCAAATTAAATAAGCTTTTGATTAGAGGGTTGTTTTTTTTCCACATTCCTCAACCTCTGGTCTTTGGCTAATGTGGCAACAGATTAAATAAGTTCAGTCTTCCTGTAGTGTAGAACTGCGGTCCCCAACCCCCAGGCCTCGGACCGGTACCGGTCCGTGAGTCGTTTGGTACCGGGGTGCGAGAGTTGAGGCTCAGGTGCGAAATGTATGGTTTTCAGCGTTATTTTGTTATCGTTTTGATCGTTAACTCTGTTTTCCTGGGTCTTTTCACGTGTGTTATGAATAAATCTTTTTTTCGGTACCGGTACTAGTTTTATTTTGTTGTATTTATCCGCGACACATTAAAGGCCGGTCCGTGAAAATATTGTCGGGCATAAACCGGTCCGTGGCGCAAAAAAGGTTGGAGACCGCTGGTGTAGAAGAAGTGACACGATCTTAAAGACCCCCCTCACCTTGTTGAAATGTCAGTATGGTGTTTGTATGTGCTGCTAGAAGAAATATCTTGACGGGGGGACTTAGCCAATGCCATGAGCATTTACACCATGGATGTGTCTGAATCAAACATGGATTCAAACAGGTTTGTTCTTTTGGAAATCCTGGCTAATGAACATGTCACATTCAGATGTGTTAGGGCTTCCTTTTTCCAGGGCTGGCAATCGAGAACGTTTTCTTTATGTTTAAAATACCAACACGTTATCAGCTGCTGGAAAAATTCAAGATTCGAATTCTTACCCTGTACAGTTCACTCTTCTTCAAAATCAGATCTTCTGTTTCTATCATTTATTTGTCAAACATTACAACACGGCGTCGAGAAGCACCAAATTACAGGTTTAAACAGACTCTTGTAAGCAGTAAGCATTGTTTAATACATCAATGTTATATCGGCAGTCGCGGTTTGATGTTGAATGGCGGTCCATAGAATCTGTTACAAAGTAATCATCAGAACAATAACAGACATAACAGCTCCCAATCCATCACAATTCACAGATTACTGTAATTTGTGAGGTACAGAAAGAAAGTGACAAGTTCTGGTACCATCGGTTGGGTGCTCTGTACAAACCAATGACATTTGCAATTTGTTGAGAAGTTAATCATATCCAGAATATTACAACTGCATGGTCAGCAGTAACCATGGCTATAAAAAAAGCATGAAAATATAGCATGACACAGAATTGGGGAGCACTGGGATATTTGCGTTGTGCACGTAAAGGTTGTGCTGTGAAAAAGACCCATAAAACTAAGAATGGCCAGACTACAACTCACACTTGAGTCATTTATATACATCTACAGTTACATGGAAATTCTGTCACAGTTGTTGCATGTTGAACTTTCTTTTTTCCTCTCACATTTATCCCTTTGCTTTAATCCCTGGCTCTTCCAAGTTACATGTTGAAGTATCATTGAGCAAGCTACTGAACCTTAAGTTGTCCTCAACGCATTGGGGCCTGAGTGTGTAAATGTTAGGTTAAAAGTGCTTCGAGACAGAAAAATGTATATGTGTTTAGAAAAGAAACCATTTGCAACTGTTTTTTTTTTTAAACAAATTAAAACTAATTAGTGAATTAAATTATAAATAAATAAATATTGAGTACTTGCTACTATTTTTTTGACACAAACAGCACAAGTTTCCCCAAGTTTTTCACAATACTTTAACAATACTGTGCCATGGTCATGACTCAAAAACAACTTGAATCCATATCAGCAGTACATCTGTTCGACTCAGTGTGACCTTTGCATAATGAGGACAATATCTGTAGGTGGCACTCCAACTCCTGTCATCCTGTTGTTAACCTCAGCATGATTTAACAGTTTAACAAAACTCAGCACACTCTTTTAGTCATTGAGTTATACCCACGAACTCTCTCAGGACTTTTCGGCCATCAGAGACGGGTGTCAGAAACATTGTTTTGACCTGAATGGCGAGAGATCTGCTAGCGTGCTACACCACAGCTGACAATGATGGTGGGAAAGAGCTCGATACGAGGAATTGCAGGGGAGCAGAAGGAACGCGGGAGGGGGGGAACAGCAAAGACCGAAGGGTAAGGATCCTGGAGAGATGAGCACAACAGACAAGACAAGAGAGCCACAAGAAACAGAGGAGAGTAAAAAGAGCAAATGCCAGAGGGAGAGTGTTTATATGGATGTCACAGGAGGAAGGAATGGGAAGCTCTGATTAGAAAAACAAATCAATTTATTTAGAAAACATGACACACATCCAGCAAGAAAAAAATGCCTCAAACTGAATTTCGACTGCCAGCTTTGACTGTGACAGATAATGATTTATGAAACAGAAAAAGCCACATTACTACAGATGCTGCTGCAGTCTTAACAAACCACTCAAATGAATAGCTTCCTCCCACAGGACTGCCAATACATGCATCACACACTAATGTTGTAGGAGAACATAAACAAGTGGTTCTTAATCTTTTGGTTCCAATTAATTTAGTAATTTTGAAATACTTGATTGTGAGAGAAAAAAAAATGCCAAAATCTAAAATTAATACTATAGAAACACACACAGAACTGAAAGCAAATTAGCAACTCCAAAGGCATAAATCGAGACAGATTTTGTCTTGTGACACTAGGGAGGCTTTAGACCTCTCAGGTTATTTCATACCAGTTGATCCTCATATTGCTTACGGAAACAGTCTCCCACAGGAAAGAATTCCCAGCAACGCTCCTGGTACATTTTCCACACATAAGATTCCTGGCAAGGTCAACAGAGTAGCAATTTATCAAAAAGTCATTAATTTCATCATGAACACATTCTTTGACAGTGAGCTAATTAGAAAAATAAAATGAAGTTAGCAGGCTCCATTTCTTTTATGTTTGCTTGTACCATGCCAGAGAAATAGATACATGCTCCATCTATGAGTACAGACAGCCATGTACAGTAAGAGCTGTCACTGTTGGGTTTATCACCTTACTTGGTGGAATTCCTCGACATTTTCTTCTGCCTTCTGCCCATGGATGTTTTTTTGTGTGCAGAAGTCAGGGGAGGAGGAGTGCTATCTTAAGAGAAATTACCTTAAGAGACATTTCAGCTATCAGCTCCAATGGGAGTTTTACTAAAAACCTGGGTTTTTAATGACTAGATGGATATAGATGGTCCTGAAGACATTATGTAATTGAATTGATTAAACTAAAAAATAAAATATAAACACTTTATTAACTTATCAGATAAGTCTATAGATTGCTGTCAAATAAAGATTCATTTCCTCACTTACTGCCTCAATCATGTGCATGTCAGTAATCCATGGAAATGTGACAGGTTTGAGTCACATGACTCATATCTAAAAGCCCTAAAACAAAGGATGTGGGGGAGAAAAAAACCCTCTCTTTGAAGCCTTTGTGACTCAGTGAGAGAGAGAGGGCATGAGGTAAGGTTATTAGGGAGTTTTCCATGTACTGGGACTGAAATGTAGCCTGTTCAACTGTACAACAGGCTGTAGGAGCTTCTGCTCTTTAAATAGTAAATCCCACAAGGGGATTGGGGGACCAGGCATTCCCGATCAGGGGCCATGCATAACCCTTGGTTATCACTGGGGAATGGAGGATTGTATGGTCCAGCTGCAACACTTCATCTTTATGCCAAAGCTGCCACAGCTCCTCTACCAGCAGCTGCATCATGATTAAGAACCATGTTTTCACATTCTGGGGCCACCAGAATGACTACTAGTTTCTCCACTTTAAGTACTTTCACCCTGGCTGGGGAAAGCTTTGATTTCATGGTGGCTAAGTTCATGTGCACACTCAGGAAAATGGCTGAATAGGTAACAAGAAGAACATTCGTCTTTTATGGTAAAATCTAGCGCACATGAGGATGCAAGACTACTGGCATCCTGGAGTGTTTATTTTTTTTATGTGCGCAGACAAGTCTAAAACTTTTCACTTTTTTGGACTAGGTGACTGTAATGGCCATTGGGAGCAAGAAGTTTCCACTGACTTTCTTTAGCAGACAAGTAGATGAAGAAAATCAGAGCAAGGCTGAAAGTCATGTTCATGGTAGACACAGTGCTAAAGGGGTCAGTGTGGAAAACAAGGGTGTAAAAGAAAATCTTCAGGACTGCGCATGTGCCAGGATTTCTTATCAATAGTGACAGCTCTTAGAGGACATAGCCTACGAGAAAGAAATATTTTTCCACCAAGCAGCTCCTCTTTTAAGCAATATCTGAGAAGAACAATATGCTGAAAGAATATACCCAATATATCTAGGAATAAGTCCCAGAACCCATTTGATTTGAAATGCCCCAAGTTCAAAATGTTTCAGGTGGATTAAATCAATGTAGTTTTCTTTGACTGTGAGCAATTGTGCCATAAAACTGTAAATATTTGCCTTTTTAAAACATGCTACTCCTTTATGTAACAGGCAATGTATAATGTTACAACAAAAAGATCAGAAAATGAATTGAAGTACTTGCCTATTTGAAATCGAACATGCATTTTGTTAAATGTGGAGCACTAATTGCACAATGTTTTGTGCTTAAGTGGAGATGTATTCATAATGGCAATATCTAGCATGTATATTGTTATAAAATATGCGTGCCAGGAGTGATAAGGCTTTTGAGAGACAGTGTGAATGCATATTCTGTCCTAGTTGAAAAGGTTACACCACAGCTCTGTCATTATCATGATAAATGTGTGAAATAACAGGTCACTGAGACACGAAGGGAGTATTTTTGGAAAGCTATACTTTGGGATTTGATCTTGTCAAAATAGTGTAATTGTTTAGGAAATTTAAAAGTGCACATCTGGTTCTTTGGTTTGATCATGCTATAAAAAGAAGACAATTATACCTGCCCCGTGTGTTCTGTCTCATCCTTGTTAATAAGGTACATCAGAAAAAATCTGCAAAGACACAGATGGGGGAATTATGCAACAAGTTTCAAATCTTTCAAACCACCAATGATTTCATTTGGTTCTGTGAAAGCTTAAATTAACAAACTGTTTATCGAGTAGTCAAGCAATAGGATTATGATGATTACGAATGTAAATTGGATATCAAATGCAAAAATATAACCAGCAATATCAACCTGACAATCAGGTTAAAATTACCTTTAATACAATTATTTGATGATTGACAAGCAAGAAATAATGAAATCTAATGATCCTTTGGTTTATTAAATTATGAGTAATGATGCTACAGCCTATAGACCTTTATCAGGTGAGCCAAAAATGTCAAATGAGGCATGACTGTACATACATATTCATGAGCAAAGAAGAGTCCATCAATCAGGGGATGCAAACACATCCTGCTAGATCCATACTAATCAGTCTCAAAAGCGCTTGCCACAGGCAATTATTGACATGGCAACAATGTACAATGCAATGACACCTTCAAAGTAACCATTTTTACTTCTAGCAGAAAAGGTTCCTGTTACGCTGAAAAGCAGTGAAAAAGACAAAATGATAATCACTTTCTAACCATGACAACTTAATAAGCTTGAGTGGGGTTATTGTTTTCTGCCTTTAATACCTTCTATTACACACATTTTCTTATTTTTATTAGCGTTTCATCCTATTGTACTTATTGTGGCACTCTTGAGCATTTCAATTAGCAGTCTGTGTATGTAAATGACTATGGCTTTCTTAATGTAATACAATTAGCTTTACATAGAAGGTTTCTTATAATATACAGATAAACTGTGTTCTTGGTGGATACAGAGTTTGGTCAAATGCATGTATTTTTAGGTCAGGAGGTGTTTTGATTCTTACTGGACTGTCATTACACATATCACAATGAAATGATTAACAAAGCACAGAGACACTCACAGACCACTTTATTAGGTATATTTTGCTAGCACCAGGTTGATAGCATGGGTTTAACAAGGTGCTGGAAACAATCCTCAGAAATGTTGGTCTAATCTGTTGCTGCAGATTTTTCAGCTGTACATTAGTAATCCAAATCTCCTCTTCCACCACATCTCATTGGTACTCTAATGGAGATATGGGGACTGTGGAGCTACAGTGAGGAAACCAGTCTATAGATTATTTGAAATGTGTGACATGGTGCATGAACTTGCTCCAATCAGCCATCAGAAAATGTACACTGTGGTAGGGCTGCTCAATTAATCGAAATTTAATCTAAATTACGATCTGGGCTTTCAACGATCATTAAAAATGACTGAGCCGATTATTAGCACCTCCCTCGTGCTTTACTCTCGCGCTGCTTCGTGTGGCAAATCGAGCGCACCTCTCTGCATTTCGAACAGGCGTCACAACAATTAAGAGGACCCGAGGGAAGCTCGGAAAGCTAAGCAGAAGTTATTTGGAGAGGAGAGTGACTGCTGTTGGTTGAAAAGAGAGGTAAAAAAAACCTTCAGTGGTGTGGAAACATTATGGGTTCGTGGAGTCAGACATGGATCAAGTAGACATAGTGTGTAAACTTTGCTACAGTGTCGTAGCTGCACCACAGAGCTACACTGTGTTTACATTTTTCATTTATTTTTTATATTGCAAACATTTGCACCGTTATCAGTATTTGCACACTATTTTATATTATATTTGACAATCTTTAAAGCCATTATTCAATACATTGTTATTGTTAAATAAATATCGTCAAATAATCGAGATCTCAATTTCAGTGAAAATAATCGTGATTATCATTTTTGCCATAATCGAGCAGCCCTACACTGTGGTTATAAAGGGATGGCTGTGGTCAACAAAACTCAAATAGGCTGGGATGTTTAAATTATGTTCAGATGATACTAAGGGGCCAAAATTGTGCTAAGAAAATATTGCTCATACCATTACAACACCACCATCACCAGCCTGATACATTGTTACGAGGTAGGATGTATACATATCTAATGCTGTTAATGCCAAATTCTGATCATTCCATCTGTGTGGTTGTGTGGAAAACCCAGGCCAGCCTGTCTGGCTCTAACGGCTGAACCAGAAAGTCATTTACTGAAAATCATCTGTCTTCTCCATTGCGATGCTCAGTTTTACCTTCAGCAAGTCATTGTGACCATGTCTGCATACCCAAATTCACTGAGTTGCTGGCATGTCATTGGCTGATTAGATATTTGCATTAACAAGCAGTTGAACAGGTATACCTAACAAAGTGGCCACTGAGTATACGTGAAAAATAGAACTTAAAAACAATGGTTTGAATCTGAATTGCAAGCTGTGGTAAACTAAGTTTTATACTGAGAGCTAATCTTGAGAAAGGGGATGAACTTATAGCAATGATTTATGGAGACATACAGAGACACAGCCAAGTGTGTTAATTAGATTTATAATGTTTGTATTTTATAACCGTTCAGTGGTGACAAAGCATGCATAAAACTTACAAATGTAAATGACCAATGTGTAAGAACTTAGTTTTAATATTTCTAAAATTAGGTCGAGTTGATATCAAACCCAGGCATAAAACCAGCGCTTTGTTGAACTCACAGATAGTTGGCCAGGTTGTGCTCCTGAAGCGTGTGAGTCTCAAAGCCATGAGGAACCGTATCAAAGTATTCACTTCCCATTCCACATATAAAACATTTGGTCTGCAGGAAGAGAAAGTAAAATGTAATGGTTCATGAAACAGATTTGGACAAACATGATGTTCCCCAGACTAAATTAGAAAGACCAGAAGCCCGTTGTTTTAGTGCTCTGTGATTCAAATGTGGTATTTAGCCTGCTAGCACAATAATCTGACACCTTTTTTTTTTCTTAAACAAATGCACTGAGAGGACACCCACATAAGGAAAATACTGGTAAGGACAGAAACCTAATATTCCTTTTGTAAGCCACTGTGCAACACTTCGGGGATACTGAAAGTTGATTCTGATCATCTGACCGTAGCTTTCCCAGCCTTGTAAAGAGGACAGCTGTATAATGATTAAAACTCAAATGAGCCATGAGCAGCTGAACACACAAAGAGTTGGGGAATGGTTGCAATCACAGCATTAGAAGATGTAGTCTTAGGGTTTTCACATAAATGCCCTCCTTGACTCCCCGCTCAAACCAGCGTTCCTCCCTGTCCAGGATGTGTACATTCTTGTAACTGAAAAAGCAGTCACCAGTCTTTAGGTGTAAACAGACAGCAGAGTCCTGGCCTGATGAGTAAGGTCTTCTGTGTTCTGCCATCTACTAAGCCAGTGGCTTTCTTGATATATAATAGCAGTCCTCTCGTTACTTAAATGCGTACACTATATTGTTTCATTTGTGTCAGGGGACCCAATCTTCGACACATACCAGTTTTTGGCTTGTTTTGGGGTTTGATGTCACAGAGACAAAGTGCTTTGAAAAAAAAGATGCTTTGGGAAAACCAAACAACCTGTTTGTGCTGTGACAGTGATTAAAAAGAAGCAATAACGAAATATGTGTTTTGAGTTTAATGCATTTTAGGTCATTTCTATTTATGGCAAATAATGGTGGAATGGAGCTCAACCTGATTTATCATTGCTGAGAGCAGTAGAGCTTAATTCCCCTATAATACAACATCTGGAAAAGCAGGTATAAAATCTGTGACACCGTTTTATATTTTGTGACACAATGACAAATATAACATATACAGTAGAAAGAAAAAACACATTAGACGAAGATGTTGGAAAAACTGTCACAAGCCTATACCGAATTAACACAATGTAACACTATTTTTAACAGTTTCACAGCCCCAGCTTGCATCTGCTCTATTCAGCCTTCAGCAATCTGTAAAATATTTTATTTTTGCTTGAATTCCTTCTGAATATGTTTTGCAGTCAGCTGAACCACAGCTCTTACTATATTTTATGTTGTTATTGTTTTCTCTGTGAATGTGGAATGGCAAATGCTGACTTAAATGTTAATGACAACAACAACTATATGAGTACACTCTTTTCAGACAGTAGCTCACCAGTTTTGTCAGACTAAGTGTACTACCCTGTTTCCTCAGTCTGGTAATCAAAGGTCTAGTTTTCGATTACTTGGCTGCCTCTCCTGCACCTTTGGGCTTTTTTGCTTCCTTCTAGTGTCAGACTGTCTTTCTAACTTTGTGTCTTTTTTTAGGTTCTGATTCTCATGGTTTGTTAAAGCCTTATAGCCTTATATATTTTACAGATACCAGTGAGGGTTTTAGCCTGGCTCCCTGGTTCACTGGGTTCAGCAAAACAACCCTAACAGATAACTATTCTTTAAATAACAAACAGTGCATTTCCATTTGTTTTTCTCATCCTTCTAGCTTCTATGTATGGGCACATGAGCATGCAAACATGAGAGAACCAAGTCTGAAAAACTGAAAAATCCAACAAACGCATATTTTATGAATACTTTATTATTATTATTTTTTAAATCAACAATTTGTTTTTGTCAGACTAGAGTTTCTGTGCTGACTAGTCACTAATCATTCAAGAGAAAGAGATAATGGTACCCTCTCATTAGTCCTAATGGTACATTTGTTTCCTGTGAAACAGGCCCCACAACTGAATGTACTTCATTTATGTAATTGTATGTGTGTATGTGTGCAGTTTGTTTGCTCCCACATACTTAAGTTACAGCTGAAGTCTGTACTATGAAACAGGATTTCATCTTATCCAGGTAACTTCAGGATTAACCTGAGTTTTCTGTACTATGAAATGCTGATTCACCACCTACTGACCAATCAAGTCTTCAGAAAACAACTGATTTGAGGCCTGAGGGATCCTTGATCTCTCAGACTTCTATGCACAGATAGTAGGATGGTCTAAGGTTTTCAACAACATCTGAAGCCTTTTGTGTTTCATCAGTGATAAATACAGATCATTCCTTCTACAACCTTTTCCTTGAATTTTTTCCTCTTGACTGTAAATCATTTTGAAAGAACAATATTGTTTTATACGCTTTAAAACATGATTTGTATTTTTTTAACCTTATACTAAAGTCTACATTTGAATTCTGTTTTTATATATATATATTCATTATTCTTAGACCATTAAAGGATGCAGCTGAAAGAACAAAAAGTAAAACAAAAACTTTATTAAATACTAGATTACTTGTCCTAATTGTAGAGCTATTAAAGTGATGAGTCTGTCAACTTACACAGTTGGCATTTTTCCCACTTTCCTTTCTGGCTTCAAATAGGCTAGACTTTGTTAATATACTAGATCTTTTACAGTCTTTCTGTCCAAAGCACCAAAAGCATACACACATTCATGCAGCACGTCTAATACTAAACAACTGTACAGCACTTTTCCTCTCACACACACTGCTTTGTCTGCAGAAGCTATCATGTTTCGTCAGTATTATTTCCTTAACCTCTTGATATTTTTTCCATATTATTGCTTTATCCTCATTTCCATAAACCAGTAACTCTGCTGCCAGAATACTTATCCATCCATGTTGTTGAGATGCTGCCAGTGCCACAAAGAGAGGAAACCTGAGTTAATAACCAGCTTTGTGTGACCACTTATTCTGATTTCTGGTGTTAAGGTAAGTGAATCCAGGTAAAAGAAAGACACTCTAGGCATGTTGACCTCGCTTCATAGTACCAAACCCTGGTATCAAACTTAGTCACAGAAGCTGCTGCTACATAAACATGGTGCAAAGGATAATATCAAGCTTTTATAGGACATTTATATCTCACAATGCTGGATTATGTATTGTTGGAAATTTAATTTTGCTCAAAATATGGAAACAAACAAAAAAATTGTGGTTGCTTACTGCAATATAATGTGTATATTAATAACAAGTGTTTTTTTTTTTAAATAACAGGGCTGTCATCAATAGAAATATACTGTAAATGTGTGAGACAAAGTGTCAAATCTCACCTCCATATCCTCCTTCACCTGTTCCTGTTGGTCACGAAGCTCCCCAAAGGCATCAATTATCAAGCCTAAGAGCAACAGCATGAGCTTTTTCAGTACATGTTGATGCATGATAAATTCTTTATTTCCAGTTAATTTTAAGTTGCAAAACAAATTCACCATGTGTGTGTCTTTGTGTGCGTGTCTTACCCTGGATAATGGCCAGGAGGATGACAATGACAAAGAAGAAAAACGTAATATCAAAGACAATCCGTTCCACCTCAAAGTCATCTCCAGCAGGATCCTCGATCTCATCGCCAATTCCACCGCCTGCACGCACTCCCACATACATGTGGAACATGTAACACTAAAATAAATAAATAAATAAATAAATATTCTGTCTTGGTAGAATTCTATATGAGGATCAGAGCACTTCTCCCTCAATTTATTCCTCCCTTTAACGGGCTGTCTTTGCTAGTGGTGTGAAGTATTGAAGAATACTTGTTAATATTGAAGCTCAATAAAGAATTTATTCTCTGCACTTTCATCCCTCTATTCATGTTTGTTGCTATTGGGGAGAAAAAATATTAAACTGCCATTACTTCTACATTTTTAAACAATAGTGTAAGTTTTGTTTCTTATCAATCTTCTCAGACATGTATTGCCCTTCGGGGAGTATAAGGCAAGACAAATTAACATTCAAGTTGTCTACCAAGGGCTACACTGTGCTTTAACTGCCAAGGACAATATTTTCCACAAGGAATTTGAACAAAATCAAAATATCAAAGATTTTTCCATACAAGTCTTCTGCTTTGGATTCATACGCTTTCATTGTACTTGTCTTTAAAATGGTACGGCAATGACTGTAGAGAGATTGATACAACAGCACGGTGAGTGAGACTGAGGGTTTACCGTAATATCCCTCACCTCCTATATTAACAGGGTTTCATTCAAATGCTTTTACTTCCCATCCGCCTGCATATGTGAGTGACATATTAGAATAGAGCAGGCAGTGGGGTGTTAATATTTTGAGTGGCCAAACAAAGGGCTGTGCTGAGGCTTCGGGGGCTGTTTTCTCTCAAAGTGTCCATCATTTTATAGAAAAAAAACTTGATGGAATAAGACATGAGGCTGTTTTCATTTGAACAATGGGGATCCCTGTCAGAACCTTCCTCTACTTCTCTCACTGTGCAGGTAGAAAAGGAGGTGGGTGGCTGTGTTTGCATTATAAAGATAAGCACAAAAAGATAGCGACGGTGATAAGAGGCAGATATATGTGGAGGGAGAGTGTGTGTGTGAATATGCACATTAAACTCACAGTAAGCATGTCATTGCACTTCATGTCTTGGATGTCCTTGTCATCACTTTTGTTGTAGAACTTTCTGAAGAAGTTGAAGGCTACAACGGTGTAGAGGTACACCACAACAGCCAAGAGGCCCACGGTAAGGATCAACTGACAAGCACACATACATAATTAGAAAATGACAGACAGAGGCAGACGGGCATTAATACACTACTTCTTCTTTAATACACTACTCAATATAACCTCACAAGGTGAAAGCAAACATCGGCTGCATTGTAGCTGCACCCATGAACACACATGGAAACTGATGGAGGGAGAATTAAGGACAGATCCACGCAGATATGCAAATGCACAAACACACACCTGTTTGCCATTATGTGTGACAGAGGAGAGGATGGTACGAAGTGTCTTGAAACCCATAGCGATATCCAAAAGGTGGGCAGCAAAGAAGAAGTTGTTATAATGTCCCAGAAACGACATGGTCATGTACCATGCCAAGTACAAGAAGGACTGTAAGCACACACACGAGCACAACCAAACATAAGAAACACAGCCAATATAGATTACAAGGACAGATAAAGAGACAAATGTGTATTTTAGATAAGTTGAATAAAAAGGATATTAACATCTCCTCTGCTGTACGCCCAATTTTATAAAAAATAAATAAATCGTAGCGTGGTACAATGACAGATTAACAAAAGAGGAATAGGCCATAAAATATCGGATATGTTTTACAACCACTGCCTGGTAACATTAACCAAATGGTTAACATAACACCTTTGCTTTGGCTTATAACCAAACTGAGCAAAAGTCATAAACTATTAGATGCAATCCAACTTACATTGTCAGTGAAAACTACACCTAGTTTCCAGACCTGATACTTCATGTCAATGGAGTTGCATCTGAAAAAAAATATGATATGATTAATAAATAAAAAAATAATAATTGATAGACAATAACAAGAACAATTAAACAAGGTCAAAATGTTAGTGATTTACATCAGAGCCTTGACCTACTGTGTTTTTATATTTTTAAAAACACAGTCTCAGTTATGGGGCTTTTTCTTAGAATATTATGTT